ATTATAAATAAGTTACCTAAACATAAAATTATAATTGTTTCAAAAATGAATTTGATTGAAAAACATGAAATATATACAAACCGGGTTTCAGTAGAAAAAACGTTATGTAGTTTGGTATATTGAGTTGAATCAGTCAGAGTTTGATTAATTTGGACAAATAAATGAAACATTTTCCTTTCAACACATATATTTGAAACATGAATTTTATATGAATAAATTAATTTCTTAGATGGAAATATCATCTTAAAAAAATAATGTCAAACATAAAAAAATAGCGAAATAATAACTTTGTTCTAACTATCACTGTTTATTTATTTATGTTTTTTTATTTTATAATTTATCCTATTTTGTAGTGACTTTGAAGATATATTTACAACAAAGTTATCTAAGTTATACGTTACAGTGTATAGTTTCTTAATAATTATTTTTTTTACTATTTAATGAAAATATTATTAGTAATATTTTATACATAAATAAAATTGACCAGATATGAAGATTTGAGCTAGATATAATGTTTGTATTCTATTTGTTTTGACAAATAAATCCATCATTTATGTTATGTATTAGACAATGTATATGATTATGTTGATATGCTATGAACATATTATAAGATATCAATAAGATACATGAAAAAGTCATTAAATAACTATAAGGACATTCTATAAGACACGCAGAAATAAAGAATGTTTATGATTTAATCAGTTTAAAAGAAGATCTTTATGGAATTACATAAGATGTTAACTTCATAAAATATAAGGATAATTATGAAGATGATATTTACAACAAAATCATCTAAGCTATATGTCATGGTGTATAGTTCTTTTATGATTATCCTCTTTTTTATTTCGTGAAAAATATCATTAGTAGTATATTATACATAAATAAGATTGACTAGATATAAAGCTTTGAATTAGATAAAATAATTTGTATTCCATTTGCTTTGATAAATAAATCCATCATTTATATTATGCAGAAGACAATGTATATAATTACTTGGCGACTCTTTCCAAAAGTCAACCATTCTCTTGTAGTTTTCATCTTTGAAAATTCTTATGTACGGTGGGTAATTTATTTACTACAAATTCATATCACACCCATACCAATTCGGATCTTTGTGAAATTTATATTTCTGAGATCGCGATTGTTTATATTATCTAGAAATGTTAACTTGCTCTCTAAGTGACATGAATTTTCGTGCACTTATTTGTGAGCCTGTAGGTCGATGTAATTTAAGGAGGAATTTGAGATACAATTACCAAGTTGTTCAATTAAGTGTTGTTGGTAGCGTTAGCTTTGTGGTTGATGACGTATTTTCTGGGTTATCACAGATACTTCATTGCCTTTATTGATTAATTTAGTGGATTTAGATATGTGTATCTCAAGAAACACAAACATAAAGCATTCAATGTCTTCAAGGTAAAAAGATTAAAACCATACAATCAGATCGTGGTGGTGAATATCCAAGCTATCAGTTTGATGAACATCTTAGGAATTATGGCATAAAGTCAACCGTTCTCTTATAGTTTTCATCTTTGAAAATTCTTATATACAGTGGGTAATTTATTCACTACAAATTCATATCACACCCATACCAATTCAGATCTTTGTGAAATATATATTTCTAAGATTGCGATTGTTTATATTATCTAGAAATGTTAACTTGCTCTCTAAGTGACATGAATTTCCGTGCACTTATTTTTGAGCCTATAGGTCGACGTAATTTAAGGAGGAATTCGAAATACAATTACGAAGTTGTTCAATTAAGTGTTGTTGGTAGCGTTAGCTTTGTGGTTGATGACGTATTTTCTAGGTTATCAAAGATACTTTATTGCGTTTATTGATTAATTTAGTAGATTTAGATATATGTATCTCAAGAAACACAAACATAAAGCATTCAATGTCTTCAAGGTAAAAAGATTAAAACCATACAATCAGATCGTGGTGGTGAATATCCAAGCTATCAGTTTGATGAACATCTTAGGAATTATGGCATAAAGTCAACCATTCTCTTGTAGTTTTCATCTTTGAAAATTCTTATGTACAGTGAGTAATTTATTTACTACAAATTCATATCACACCCATACCGATTCGGATCTTTGTTAAATTTATATTTCTGAGATCGCGATTGTTTATATTATCTAGAAATGTTAACTTGCTCTCTAAGTGATTTGAATTTCCGTGCACTTATTTTTGAGTCTGTAGGTCGACGTAATTTAAGGAGGAATTCGAAATACAATTACCAAGTTGTTCAATTAAGTGTTGTTGGTAGCGTTAGCTTTGTGGTTGATGACGTATTTTCTGGGTTATCAAAGATACTTCATTGCGTTTATTGATTAATTTAGTAGATTTAGATATGTGTATCTCAAGAAACACAAACATAAAGCATTCAATATCTTCAAGGTAAAAAGATTAAAACCATACAATCATATCGTGGTGGTGAATATCCAAGCTATCAGTTTGATGAACATCTTAGGAATTATGGCATAGTGTCACAACTCACTCCACCAGGAACACCACATCATAATGGTGTTTTGGAAAGGAGAAGTCATACTCTACTTGATGTGGTACTATCGATGATGATTCATATTTTCTTTCCTAATTTTTTTAGGGTTATGCCCTCGAGATAACAGCTCGAACTATAAACATGGTCCCAACTAAAAGGTTACTAATACTCCCTACAAGTTATGGCATGGACAAATTCCATCAATCTCTTACATAAAGATATGGGGTTGTGAAGCATATGTTAAAAGAGAGACTTCTAACAAGCTGGACCCTAGATCTCAAAATTGTATCTTTTTGGGATACCTAAAAGAAACCATGGGTTACTTCTTCTCCTAGAAAGAATAGAATCGAGTGTTCATAGACTGAAAAGTAGTGTTTCTTGCAAATGACTTTATCTTGTATAAAGCATGTGGGATCCCCATTAATCTCAAAGAAATTCATGAAACACAACCTTTAGTTGAGAATGATAATCAAAAAAGCATTGTTGAAATTGAATTATCATTCAGATGCCAAAAAGCACACCAACTATATGGCGCTCCAATATACCTCATCAGGAACCTTATAGATTTGGATTTGCCAATTCTGAAGAGGAAGTCTTCATGATGGATCAATATGAGCCCATCAATTTCAAGGCAGCTATGACGGACCTAGAGTCTGATAAATGGTTTGACACCATGAGAGCTTAAATTTAGTCCATGATGACAATCAAGTATGGGACTTGGTTGACTTACCACCTAATAGCAGGTTTGTTGGAAGAAAGTGAATCTTCAAGAAGAATATTGACATGTATGGGGATGTTACACACATACGCGGTATTAGGAATTATAGAGATAGATCCCAAACACTCATCGGTTTGAGTCAAAGAACATACATTAAAAAAAGTCTTAAAATTCTTTTCAATGGATAACTCAAAACGAGGAATTGTACCATACTGCCCGACACCATTATTTTTAAGGTTGATAGCCCTAGTACTAAAAATAACATCAAAAGAATGAGTCGCATAACGTATACTTCAGCAGTAGGTTCAATTATGTATGTTATGACATATACAAGGCCGGATGTAGCTTATGTTATTAATCTAGCTAGTAGGTATCAATCTAACCCAAGATAGAAGCATTGGATAGCGGTTAAAAATATACTTACGTACTTGAGAAGGACTAAAGTCATGTTTCTATTTCATGGAGGAGTTGAAGAAAAGCTTACTGTAATATGTTACATTGATGTTGGTTTCAACACTAATCGAGATAACTCATGATCATAGTCGGGATATGTGTTCACACTTAATGCAAGATCCATTTCCTGAAAAAATTTCAAAGCAAGAAGTGGTCGCACTTTCTACAACAAATTAAACGTATATAGTTGCGTCTGAGGCATCTCAAGAAGTTGATTGGATGAACAAATTCATCGCTTATCTGGATGTTGTTCCAAGCTTCAAAAATTCCATTCAAATGCTTTGTGACAACACTGGCGCTATCTCTATCACAAGAGACCCGATCGTTACCAAATATACTAGACACATTCAATGGAAATTCAATTTCATTCTCCAGGAATTGGAATTAGGAAATGTATGCATTGAGAAGGTTCATACAGATGATAGTCTAGCAGATCCATTCATAAAAGCCTCTTTCTAAAATCAAGTTTGAGAGTCATGAAAAAGGAATCAATCTTCAATTAGTTAGTGATTGGATTTAAAATTTGTACTTTACTAATATATGGATATTCATAACTATGTAAGAATGATATGTAATCTCTTTTGATATATGAGATATCTCTTTTGTGTGAAATATTTTGTGTGTTTTATGTTAGCATGTTATTTAATCCCTGAATAAGACTAATATGAACGGGCTTGGTTGATTTCAAGTGGTGAAATAGAAAAGTGTTGCATCCAAATTCATGTGTACTTGTTAGAGAATAACTATTGAATATGACCCACGTTAAGAGTCACTTCATGGATTGTTATCATAAGTGAATCTTGAACACAAGTAAATATCACTACTAGAAAACGGCCCTTTAATGACGCGCAAACAATGACACGCTCTGATAGAGGACACGCATTTGTGCGTGTGGTAAAAAATAATGTCAGTTTTCTAAAATTTCAAGGATAGAGGGCACGCATTTTTTGCGCGCCCTAAAATTGGTGTCCAAGAAAAAAAACACGGAGGGCACCAATAATAAAGAGCGTGTCGTGTAACTATGTCGTTTTATATTTTTTTTAGGAAGGCGCATTCTCTGCCTGCGATGGGGGGAAATGAAATCCCAAAAAATTAAACACATCGCATGATCATCTCCTTCTTCTCCTTCTAAAATCCTCTCCCAAAAAAACCCTAATAATCCTTTAAGCAGTTCGTCTCTCTCTCTCTCTCTCTCTCTCTCTCTCTCTCTCTCTCTCTCTCCTTTGGAATCAGATTCTTGAAAGATCAAGTTTCATCCTCGCAGTGTCGGCGACTCCTTACGCTCACACATGCCTATGCCGACGACTGCGACTTCTTACACTCACGATGTTGTCGATTGGGGCTCTAAGTCTTGGATCCACCTCCTGTCAACCCTACTCCATCTACTATGACTACCAGGCCCGGCCCAGGCATGGGCAGGTTGGGCAATGGCCGAGGGCATCATTCCTGAGGTGGCATAATGTAAGTCTGGTCTGGTCCGGTAGCTATATGTGATATTTTCAGCCCACTGTGCTCAAAGCCCTCAATTTCGTATCTGATTGGCTTGAAGGCGGTAAACCAAAAATGAGAAAGAGGAAGGCAACATTATCGGTGCCTAATAGAGAAGACGACGAGACGAATCTCTTGGGAGATTTTGTTGCGTAGCATCGATTGGGCGTTTAACTACATTCTTCGTGCAAATATCGAAGTACATAGGCATCGATTGGCCATTTTGCAGAGCAACAGTAACAAAAAAGAAAAACCATTTAGTTTGTGTTTTGTTTTCTATATAAATGATAAATCAGAAATTGAATCTCCATCTCGTATCATCATTCATCTACAATCTCTTTGGCTTTTATTATGTATTTTAAATATTTGATTTTTATTTTATGTAGGGCGAGCGGATCAGCCAAAGACAAGGACGATTATGCCATTTCCCTTGAATAGTTGAAGTTTCACCTGCAATTGGGTTTTTCTTGCCCTTTAGCTTGGATTCTTGGAAGACAAATTTGTTTTGTAGTCTTGAACATGTGGTGTTTTGCTGGTGTTTTAATTGAGGTTTGGCCTTCGGTTGCCTAGAGTTCTGACTTCTGAGAATGACATCTACTAGTAATTAATGTCCTTTGATTCTCTGTGGCTATGAATGTGTTGAAGAAACACATAAAGATTATCCAACCCTTTTTTGAAACTCTGCAGGTTGCTTTCTTGATTATCTTTTGATGTCACTTCTCTCTTATGCAAGGAATATCCAGGTAGGTATAGAATATCTTTTGGTTTCTTTTTATTTTCATCTTCATAGTTCATATATAATAATAATAATAATAATAATAATAATAATAATGAGGTTGTTTTGTTTTTTTTTTCAGATGCTACCATGGGAAAACCTGCCTGTTCTAAGAAAGCATGAGGTCTACCGCATGCCTTCTGTTGCCAGTATATCTTCCACATTTTAAAGACGTTGCAAATTTCAGGAAAAAGAAAAGGATACTTGTGCAGTCTTCCCAACACAGAGGCTGCATTTTTTTTTTTACTTTTTCTTCTACTACCTACATTACACATAATCTTAAAAATTATTTATTTATTTTGAAAACAGGTTTAGGCTTATTGTGAAGCCTATAGCTGATGTAGGCATTATAAAGGAACAACGGGAACTTGTTGACTTTGACTCTTTTTCACTCACACAATTTGCCATGAGTGTTGTCATGGGATAGGACCACATACAATAACACTTCTAGATGGTCAAAAGTCAACTGTGAGATTGGTGGGGTTTTTTTTTCATTTCAAATTTAATAATCTTTATAAAATTATAATTGCTTTATATGAATCGACAAACAGGAGCTACAAGAACTACATTTAGCTTTGGAAGAAGCTAAAGTGGACATTGTTGGTCTGTGGGCCCTAAAATTTCTTATAGATAAGGTCAGTGGTATCTTGATATATAATTTTTAATTAAAATATTAATTTGTGTAAAGTAAATTTGAAGATAATGAAAAGTTGACCATATTTTTGGGTTGGTTGACCAGGATGAGCTTCCAAAGCGCCTGGTCAAGTCAATGTACGTGTCTTACCTTGCAGGTTGCTTCTGGTCTGTACGTTTCGGGTTAGAGGAAGCTCATGGGTACTCCACTCGATATATTTATATATTAATCTGATTAAATGTTTTTTTTAATTATTATTTTGAAAGTTTGTTACCAGAAAAGGTCAACTGGTTATTTGAGAAAGGGGGATTTGTTTTACATCCTGATGAAACATTTTCTGTTGACTTTGATAAGGTAGTGTGGTTGTTTTATCATTTATAACTTATAGATCAAGTTCCCATTGGGATGATAATGAAAAATTACTAACTTTTTTTTACTGGTTTGATAAATGATAGATTTAAGATGCAGTCGAGGGGTTAAGTAGGGTTATACTTACAACACAAGGAAAAGGGGACAAAGATGTTGCTTGACAACTTCTTACAAAATACTATGTCATGACACAACCTTTAAAACATGCTTTGAAAAAACTAGAAATGGTTCAGGTAAATTACTTAACATGTATTTACTACTATTTAGTAATATATAACTTCAATTATCCCTCATATTTACTCCTTATTTTATTTTGATTTGTATTTTGCAGGTTCCAATGGATATAATACCGGACTTCCCAGTTGCTGATAAATTGCTACAAGAGAAGTCATAAATGCTTCTTTTTTTTTTAAATTTTGTTGTTACTTGTACTTACTTGTTGAAGTCAGGAGTTTGATTCCAAGGTAAACATTGCTTATAACTTTCTATAATATTTTCTTATATAAAATTTACAATTCTAACTTTTTGGTGTTATTTGGTGTTTTCTCATTTCAGGTTCAAGTGTTGAACACAATCTCCATGTTGATTGCCTATGTTGGTGACATCATCTTATACGCCTTTGAATTGGTTCAATTTTTTCAAAAGGTATTTAATCCAATTACTACATTTTTAGAATAAAATTGTTCAATCAATTTGTTTAACTGGAAAAGAATTCTTTTTTAATTTAGAGTCTTGGGAGGAATCTTCTAGTGAAAGCCTTCTGCAGATTCAACTTCTAACTGCTCTGAAGAACTTTGTAGTTGCACTTGGGTACAAGTCCCCTATGTGAATACAATGTTCTTCTCCATGTTCTAGTTAGTGGGCTTCATGTTAATAGCTCAGATGAACTTCTTGAAGACATTATGCAGGTAACAATATTGTAATATATATATATATATATATATATATATATATATATATATATATATATATATATATATATGAAATTATAACTTTATAAATAATCATTTTGTTAACTGTTTTGACACAGTACATTACTGATTACTAATTACCCATGCAAGCTATGGGAAGCCACAATTTCGAATGCCCCTTCAATGGTCCCACAACTCCTAGCATACTTTCCATCTTTGGTAGATATACTGGAAAGAAGTTTTGATCACTTAAAGGTAATTTAAATCAAAATTTATGTGGTAAAAGACGTAAATGCCCCTGGAAAGCTTTTTGATCTTGTTGTTGGAAATGTTTATGATAAAGGCTTATTTAATTTACTTTGATTAGTAAATAAGAAATAACAGTTTTATTTTATTTCTTGTTTATTTTTGTTGATAAATAATAATATATTATCCTATTTTGGATCCTTTGTTTCTAGCGGTCTTAGTGTATGTCCGACACCACACATAATTAGCAGGGTATAATTTGCACATTATTTTCAACAATTACTATATGAAAAAAAGTGGTGCAGTGTATTAAATTTGGTTTTGAAATTTTTGCAGATTATGAGACACTTTGAACTCTTCCCTTGATGAGGAAATGGTTGCTGATCCTAATGTCTTTGTAATGGGGGAAGAGGTAAAGCCCTAAATTTATTTATTTATTTATTTATTTATTGTAGTGCTCGTCTTCTTTTGGGGTGGGGACTGCACTGTGCAGGTAGGAGAATACCATGGTGCATACAAGGTTAGACTTTGCTTATCTCAATTTTCACAAAACAAGGGATTGGTGGACAAATATGGTCCTGAAAGAGTTGTGGATACCCTATCACAGAGGTTTGAATCACAGTTAATTTAAATGCATAAAATATCTGAAGGTTTTCGATCTTTCTTCTAAATGATTTCTATACTACCTATCATTGATGTTTTAATTCAGGTATATTTTAATTCAATATGTTTATATTTAATAACAAATATTAAAAAAATGAACATTGCATTAATGGTTAGAGTTGTTGGTATTGACAGTGTTCTGCTTCTAATGGGCCACAACTGATCAATAGTACTCTACTGGTATTTGTTTTTGTTTTATGTATTATACTTTATAAAATTTATATAAAATAAAATTTTTATAAAATGTGTTTGGATTTTAAGTAGGTTAGTTCTTAGTACTATTTATTTCTATTGATGAACAGATGTAACATACCTGCATAAAATGACCATTTTGCCCTTACTATTGTTATTACAACCGAGGGCAAAATATCTTCCACTGAATCGGTTGTTTTACATTATTACAGGTTGACAATGTAAATTATATTTAGAAAAAGACATTTGGATTTGCACTTTCTATAATTCTAACATTATGGTTGCCTCAAGTACTTGATAAATTAGATCAAATACTAAGGTACTTACATAACCCTGCTACTCACCTTTCATTTGATGGATTATTATTATTATTATTATTATTATTATTATTATTATTATTATTATTATTATTATTATTATTATTATTGTTGTTGTTGTTGTTGTTGTTGTTGTTGTTGATGTTTTTCATGAAATACTTTAATGTGTGTGGCAGTGTAAGTACAAGTGTCATATTGGGCAAATTAAATTTTGATTAAAAAGTCTATTATCATTACATCTGTTTTTCTGGCTGATTGTTATCTTTCTCTGTTAGGCAGATTAAATTTTGATTAAAAATATTGAAGATGATCAGTTCTTAGACCTTATGATTGTGAAAACTGAAGTGTGTTATGTCTGTAAGGAACCTTACAGGTAAGGTGATGGATCAAACTCTTTTAAAGTTTCATCTACATCTAGTTTTATTCTTCTGACACGCTTTTGTATTTGGTTTAACAGTTGAGGATCATAATCAAACCCAAGCCTTGTATTGGTGTAAGGCCTTTATGTAATGCACAACAGGTTTCCACGATGGCATGAAAGTGGTATTAAGTATTTGCGTTCTTATTATATTATGCCCCTCACATTTTCCCAAATTACCCCTTCCTCTGCAATGTTTTTTTTGTTTCTGTGTATTTTGTGCATTAGGTAAAGTTGATGGAAGAAAGGAATATGAAGCCACTTGATTCAAATCTTGCAGCATTAAAGATGCAGTAAAGACTTGGAGTTGAATTTGGCTAAGTCATTCTTGAGTGAGATGGACCAATGTACAACTGCTTATCTATAAATTCAGCTAGTTGGAGCATTAGTCTTAAAGAATTATGAAAGGCAAGATGCAACTTTACTTAGTTGGAATTTGATGTACAAAGTAGATTATATGCAAACTTATATATTGTAAGAAATAGAATTGTATGACATTAAATTTTATGCAATGGATTGTATTTTTTGTATATAGTATTTTATTTCTATTATGAGACATTAAATGCAAATTTAATTTAAAAATTAATAAAAATATAAAAATATGTTTTTTTTTTAAATTTAAATTTACGATACGCAAAACTGCGTGTCATCTTCATTAATGACATGGCCTTTCTTGACAACGGCTTTAATGATACGCATTGCGTGTCATAAATGCGCGTTGTCTATAGAGGACGCGCAAAAGCGCGTCGTCTCTCGTTATGACAGGGCCTTCCTTGACGCACATTTGCGCGTCGTCTGAGCGTTTTACGACGCGCAATGAGCGTCGTAAAAGGCTGTTTTTCTAGTAGTGTATCTTTATGTCTTTCGACCTGAGATGCATATTAGAGAACTCTAATATAGAGATTGTTATACTTTGGCATGGTTAAACGTTGTTCATAAGAGTGCAGTCATAAAAGCTTCCATTCGATATAACATGACCTATATAAAAGTGTGTATGTAGTTGGATAGGATTTGTTCCTCTTATTTTTTAGAGTTAGACATCTAAGGCGTCTTACTTAAAATTGGATGTCAAATGAGAATGATTTTGTTCCATGTATCATATCTAACATTATGTCAGAAACAAAGAGAATATTGATAAAATTACCTTTAACTTCAACTGTAGCTTATGAGATCCTGGAATTAGATATTGATTGATGGCACCCCTCCGTGTTTTGTTAGGGGTAGCAGCCTGTAGCTAGATGCCAGCTATTGTCTATGTCAGTCTTTAATGAATCATGTGCAAGTGTGAGATTGTTGGATCTATATGCCCAAGAATCATTATTGAGTCATATTTCTAATGACATATGATCATATAGGGTCACACCTTAATCAAGTTGGTACTTATTGGATATTTATTATGAATTTTATTATTAATAAATGAATTCAACTCTTGTACTTAATTAGAGAAAAATTATTGTCTTATAAAAATAATAGCAAAAGAAACAACAAACTAGTCATTATATCATATGGTATGATATAATAAGTCATGTACAAAGTTTTGGATACTTTGGTTAACCATGGTTTAGTTAGTTAATTGATCTTTGGTTAAGATACCTAGTCAAGCATTTTTTTTGTCTTCTTCCTTTTGACCTAGTAGCCGAAAGTATGAAGAGGGCATGGAGGTGACTTGTCAACCTCTGTGTCTTATCTCCCTTACCTTTATGTTTTATAATACTCTAGAGTATTATAATGAAAAGGCTTTACCTTGAATGGGATATAAAAAGGGAGTCTTTGCATGGATTTTGGCTATTTCTTTTTCTTATCTTTTTCTCTCTAAAAATTTAAGTAGTAAGAGCTTGGGAGCTCTCTCACTTTTGAAGTTGTTACTTGGCTTTTGGTGCTTAACTTTGTGTCTTCCTTTAGTGCTTAATTGTTTAAGCACTAATCGGATTAAGGAAAAAAGTAATACAAGAAGAAACATTTTGGCTACCCTATCTTGTTGGTGGATTATTTGTAGAAAAGATCAAGCTTCTTGTTCTTGCCATCTACTTCAACACCCCAAATCCAAGAGGGTCCAAAGGCTTCAAAAGTTGTCATTCTAAAACACCATATAGTTGTTTTAATATCATTGTAACATATTTAGAAGGATCCTTGATGGTTTAGTTTTATTATATACTAAAAAATTAGGGATTTCTAAACCCTAATTATGGTTTCCAACCAAATCAAAAACCAATTAATCCAATAGTTAAATCTTTACATTAATTAAAGTCTAATCAAGTCGGGTACCACCCACTACCACCTTGGGAAATGGTGGTTAGCGGTGGTTCACGGCCATAGCCACCACCTCACGGTGGTGGTGGTTATGTTCTTGGGCCAACACAACACCAAAAGCACTCCAAACATCAATCTAAACGCACCTGAAAGCCCACAGCCACCCAAGATGGTGGCTAGCAGTGGCGGAATGGCGGAAGCAAGTGGTGTTGATGAGTTATCTTCGTTTTTTCCTGTCCAAGAATATCCATACAACATTAAACTCACTAACTAGGCTCACATACACCAAATCACGCACACATCCACCCCTATGGTGGCTGGTGGCGGCAAAAGAGATGAAAACCACCACCTCTCGCTGGTGGTGGCTGGTCTTCCTTGGTTTTCAGGCCAAATATGGCTCATAAAACAATTGAAGTTGTTGGAGTTGACGACCACAAAAGTGCAATAGCCTCCGACAACAGCAATGACGTTCACGACGTCTAACACCGAGAGGAATGATGGGGAGGAGAGAGAGAGAGGTGGCAGTTAGGCCTACCCGAAACTTCCTGGCTGCTCACGACCTATGACTCGCCGTTTATAGCTCTGTAACTTCGGTATCGGTGCTCTTCTGGCTGTCCGCAACGTCGAGCAACGAGGTTATGGATGGCGGCGCTCGGCGACAGGTAGCAACGGACCTTGTGGCGCTCAGACTCGGTTTATAGGCGGCGGCTAGAGGACTCCCAAACGATGGAAGCTACTGAAAAATTAGGGTTAGGGTTAGGAAATAGCGATCTTAAGATGGGAGAGAATACCACCGGGTTCAAATCCTGTACTCCATCCAAACTTATGAACATTTCACGTGTTTGGTCCCTCCGCATAAGATTTTTCTCAAATCAAGGCTACCATTTACAAAAAAGCCCCCCAACATCTAAAATTTATCACAATTCAAGTCCCTAAAGTTTCCATTTAACCCCTATCAGTCCAAAGTTCTTTCAGTTTAAGTCCTAATAATTACCAAGCAACCCTGTCTTTAAAAATCCTTTCATAGCAAGTCCAATATTTTACTAAACATGCCATGAGTTCTAAAAACCTTTACAACTTGAATCCCAAAATTACACCTTAACCCCCAGAAATCAAAATTATATCATTTGGCTCCCTAAAACCAACACCCCGCTAAATAGTATTGAGTTTAGGGCCATTTTAAAATAATATAAATTATAACTTTACATCTCAGGGTTCCAGGTTTATTATTTAATTACTCTATTTCAAACAGGATGTTACAATTCTCCCCTATTTGAATTAGATTTCATCCTCGAGAGCATTTCTTACCACTCCTAACGTGCCAAATAACTTGAGCAACACGACCATAACCACAAGCATACCCTAGCCTTTCTAAGGCAAGCATAACCAAATCTTGTAGGGTTCTAAAACCCGAAGATGAATGAATTCCTTGCAACATGATCACATTTACTTAGTCCAAATTTCGAAGTATCGAGATGGTCTGTCTCCCTGACAAACCGCCCATATTGAATCATCGCCTGAATCCACTTCACTTATCTCCCAACTGGCTATTCAAATTATGATTTTATATAGTCCAACGGTAAACAACTTATTACATACCCCGAATTGCACGCAACTCCACATACGGACCCCACATCACTAAAACTACTCCAACCATCTTGCTGCCACATAGTCGCTTTCCTTAAGAACAACTAGGACCTCCCTGGTCCCAACTTGTTTGCTAACTATCTGGAACACCGGACACCTACCCGATTTTTGGGCAAAAACACACGCAGCAGTCCCATGCGACCTCCAAAGGATACCTCATCTAACAATAGTTGCCCTATCAATATCGCCGCTCATGGCTCCTTCAATCCATTTGATCCATCCAATCAATGATAGGATGACAATGTGTCGCCAATGAATCTGACGCAAAAAGGTGAATGCTACCATAATAACTATAGTCTTACATCATACCTGGTCTCCTTCGACCTACCATTTCCTAATTTAATTATGTTGTGACCTACTCACAACTTTGCGAACTGGCCCACCCTGGCCTAAGTCATCTGAACAAATCCGTGAATGCCACGACTATCCTGCAGTCTTACAACACCTTCCACAATATCTGTCTACCAGTGAATGCTACGGCTCCCCCATAGCCTTAAACACTTTCACCTTACTAACCATTAGTTAATGTTGCGGCTCCCCCGTAGTCTTACAACACTTTCATCCTAACTGGCCATTAGTGAATGCTACATGTCCCCCATAGTCTTACAACACTTTCATCCTAATTGACCATTAGTGAATGCTACGGCTCCCCCGTAGTCTTACAACACTCTTTCCCTAACACAACTGCAACCCATTGCCTTCCCCTTAATCTATCCATTCGAAACGCATACATTGTCGAGCACGCACTCGACCGAACACCCGAATTGAACTCAATTCATGACTGGAGCCCCAATCTGCTTCCCCAAATTCTTCTATCAAGCCCCATGAAGATGTGATTCACACGCTAGGGAGTTTTACCGAACTCCAAACTCACACAACCCTCAAACCAATAGCCACTTGGGCCGCCATTTTTCTTGATGAAGATGAGAAAACTCATCACGGTCTAATACCTGCTTCTGTCCTAAATACCTGTGTGATTCTCCCCCACTTAGATTCGACCAAGTCTTCGCAATACATGAGATTTGAAGGATTCCCAATCCTTCTTACTCTTTAATAACCAAACTACTGACAACCTTCCGCTTACCCGTGCTAGTGTTCTATTACTGGCCTAAACCCCAAAAGACCACACAAATCCTAAAGATCATACGAACACTCCCGAATCCTAGCGAAACTAAAAATCTCAGATGCCTTGAAATGATGCCACACTTATATCTCGAAGTTCAAATAACGGATGCCCGGTCCAAAGCCTCCATAGTAGACCACTTCCCCTGGCGCCTCCAAAAGCCGACTCAAGCATAATGGCTTAATCACCAATCCTGACCTAGACGTTCCGCATCATGTTTCTGAACCAATCTTGACCATAGACCCAGATAACATTGAATGCTCCAAACCAGCAAAGA